TGATCACGAGGACAGTTTGCTGGACTCGAGTCGGAAACTTTAAGCCTCAGTGCTACCTTCTTCCCCCGAACATAACGTCTATGCGTTGTAAACGAATACAACGCAAAGGGTGCGTCCTATTTGCATACAACTCATATGCGTTCTATTCGAATAGCCATAAAATTCGAATACAACGCGTATGCGTTCTATTCGATTTTTTTTTGTTTTTGAAATTTTGAAACTCGAATACAACGTATATGCGTTCTGTTCGGGGGAAGAAGGGTATTGCACATGCTGGAAAGAGATTCGACTTCGAAAAACAACTCTGATCCTTTTGCTGGTTAATACCTTCCCAAAGTCTGAGCAAAGATCCTTTTTTTTCTACCAAGGTTGTTGTTGCTTTTGCTTCCAAGGAAGGCTGCTGCTGATGGTGATGGCAGTGTTTGTAGCGGTACCCCTACGGCCCGGCAGTGAGGCCGGACCAGTTTCAGGCCGTCGGCCTGACCCTGGTCCGGTACCAGGTTGTTCCGTACCTGGACCTAGGTCGGTATATCACTTCGACGTAGGCCCAGGGCAGCAGGTTCATTCATTCAGTGTTCGTTCATTCATTGAGCCGGACTGGACCTTCACTCAGCTGCTGCTTCTCGTGTGTGTCCATCTCTTCTCTCTCTCTCCCACCATCTCCGCACGTGCCCTCCGCACGTGCGTCACAGTCTTACTCACATTGCCATGATCACCTGCTTGAGTGGTTTAACACTGCTTGTCTGACAGTGAATATATCTGGATGGTTTAATCAATATTCTGTCGTTAAACTCGTTGGCAGCTTAAAAACAGTTCTATAAAAGTGGTTTAGTGTTATTCCTGGTTGCAGTGACTGAATCAGATGCCGTAGGAGTTGCTGCTGCGGCGGCGGCTGCTACTGTTGATTCTGTGTTGAAAGTTGAAACGGTTTAACATTTGCTCACCATGTCCTTGTGGCTGCAGTGGAAACGCATGGAGAAGGTAACTACGGATGATGTGAAACGTCAACAAAAATGTCGTGCTTCACTACCATGGTCGTTGTAACTGTGGCACAGCACCGTCTAGCGCACACGGGAAGGAGTAGAGGGCGCAGATTCTCTTCCCTTTTTTTTTTTAATCAACAAGGCAAGTACACGAAAATATCCTCGTCGCATTAGAGGGTGCAGATTGTCTTTTTACCAAACAATCATGAAACGCATTTGCTCGAACCGAAGGTCTGTAGTAATCCAGTTTTTCCTTCTCTGATTAAAAAGGAATAGACCCTCAGGCTGGCGCAGTTGTATCCATCAGGATTTGGATTTTGAACTCATCATCTGTTTCTGAACATTTAATAATTATTAATTAAATAAATTATTTGTACAATTCAGCGTCAACGGAGGTACATGCATTAGTCGGTTTAGTCAAAGCAATAGTCATTTATGACTCATGAGTCATGATTGATTCACACATGAACTATTCAGGGTGACAGGGTGTGTGTATGGGCAGGACAGAAGCTGCTGCTATGTCCTGATCTGAACGAGTGGGGGCACGGACTAGGAACTGGACCAGCACTCCCCAGAATAGAACCGAACCGAGGTCCAAAAAAAAAAAAAAAAAAAGAAGCCAACTCGGCAGAGGCCACAAGGGACACATCCTCGCCGTTCTCCAGGTGCAGTTTCTTCAACATCGCTGCAAGCCTGCAACTGGTGAGAGGACTGTCAACAGGCCGGCCTTTTTTCTTTTTTAATACGAAAAAAAACCCTTGTGTAAGCCCTCTATCCCGGCAGTGGGAAGAGAACCGTCAGAATGGAGGGCTTATCTGTCAGACTGCGCCATCTATTGGTGGGGAGCGGCGGCTCCACAGGTCAGCTATTATCGAAGGGATCTGCAACAGTTTTGTAGAACCTCACCTCAGTCACAGAGTCACAACACTGAGGGGAGGTGTGGGGCATGCTGCTGCTCTAGTTTGTGAGGCCGCAATGTATCGAGTCTACTGAGTTCTGACTCTATTGAGTCAATTGATTGGCGGAAGGCATGTGACAATTTTTACATTTTCACAGTGCCGAGCGCGGTAGACTAGTGATAGCAAGTTTGCAACCGTAAGTCGCAGATTGCTCGCCAGCTCCTTCCTCCTTCCATTTTTTTTCTCTTCTTTAAACCTCTACTAAATATACCATAAGTGGTAATTTACTAATTTGGCTTTTCGGCTTGGAAGTCTTTCTGTATGGCCCCAGCCCAGCTAAGAATGCAATCGAGCCTCTCCTAAAATTTCGGAGGCTCGGGACAGGCCGTCTGAAGGGCCAGTAGGAAAAAATGAAATGTCCCGTGAAAAAAAAAAAAAGAAAAAAGCCTGCTCCACGGGAGCCTTGTCTCGAGTCCGCTAACTTTTTGGAGAGGCTCCTCATTCCAATTCTCCAGATGTGTGTACTGGTGGTTTAAGAATGGTTCCTGATATCAGGACCACGTTCTGAAATTCAATGCGCAGTGGTTGAGCTTCAACGGCACAGGCTACTGCCTTTATCCGAATAGAATGCCTGGGCGTTATAGTTGTATTCGGGGCAGCTTTTGATCTATCGATACTCCAGTGATAATGACGGAGGCGTTCTATTCATGTCAAGACGGTAGAGATACAGACCCGTCATCAACAGATAAAGACCTCTAATCCTTTTTGAAATCAATCTCAGACTGATCATACTGTGACGTGAGGAGATCCCCCAATGAGGAAGCTCCTGTAGTGCACACAGACATCATGATGGCCCTTGTTGAAGCCTCTGGCCTTTTTGGATGTATCTGGTCATAGCCTCATAGGTATGGCAACGATGGACGAATAGGGTCATGATTCCCATCATGGTTCATGGTGACACCTTTAGTTCACAAGCATCCAGATCTCCTTCCTGAGAAGACCATTGACACACTCCTTCTAAGAGCCGACTCGCACACGAGGTATGTTTTGGATGTATTTGGCTGCAGTTGCGGCAGGCAATCAATGTATTTGACCACAATTGCATCGAGAGATCAGTTGGATACGTCCTACTGTCCATACACCCCTAAGGTGTGGATCACCTGTTCACATCCATGGAAGAGACAACAACGACAACAACAACAACAACAACAACAATAACAACAACAACAACAACGACGACGACAACAAAAACAACAATGACAACGACAGGCCTGCTGAAACGACGCTCACATATGCACAGGCCATTGATAACACTAACTGCACCAGCGACGAAAAGACCGTGCAGGACAGCGGCAGGGAAGGAGGGATTTCGAGTTCGTGCTCGTTGGGGAGAAATATTTATTACATCAGCAACAGAAAACAAATCAACGCTGTCGGTGACAACAACAACAACAACAGGAATAACAATGATGATACTCATGGTGGGGCAAGTGCGATTGAGGATTCTCTTCCCCCTCTCTCCCCCTTCCTTTCCTTCTTGTTTCCCTTTAGTTCGTTGGATTTTGATTGGGGGGATGGGCGAGTGGGGTGGCCGAAAGGAGTGAGTGGAAAACAGGAAGGTTGTGTGGGGGTGCGAGGAGAGAGATGGTGGCGAGAAGGGGTAGGTTAGAGAATGCTAGTCAGAAAGATGGTATGTGGCCACAAGGTTTGGCCATGTGGCAACAGAATAACCATGCCTTGGGTATGGGCTTGCTTATCTGTTTGCCACATGTAATTGGTTATCTTAATTTGTCACGAGTAATTGGTGATCCCAATATGTATGAATTCCGTAAATATGGCTGCCACGTGGGGATTGTCATCTCAGTTGCGCTACAAATTCGCCACGTGGCAGCGCAGGAGGAATAGTAGTGTTATGCATTGGGGCAGCCTATGTGGTTCACTGCTGTTCTGTAAAGTGGGTCACAATGATGAATCTAGGTTTTGTTTTGGGATTCGCCACAATTGGCTTTCTACCTCCCTACTCAGATTTCCTCTTCCCCTCATGGCCCAGGTACCAGGAACCGGTCGGGAAGGTCAGAACGGTTGGAGTTGGGCCTCGAACCGGCTACTGATGTATCAGGTCGAATGGTCAGATAGCGTAGGCAGGCTGTCAGGCGGTACTATTAGCAGTGTACGTTTTTTGGTTTGGACCTTTAGGCCGTCGTAAGGGTCAGTGTGGTTTTGTGCGTTATCGACGGTGCCTCGAAGCAAGGAGGAGGAGATTACGTTGAACATAAGGATAAATAGCTATTTGCGGAATGGAATGCTCCTTTTTCGCCGAGTGAAGGCGATGCGACGCGGGGGTGGACCGATGGGTAGGAGGGGACGGGTCGTCATCATGACGACATGGGTTGTCGTATCTTTTATCACTCCTCATCTCTGCGCTTCATGTTTGAGCACTGTTAACAACCACGTGTTAACGTGAGTCTGTTTCACTTTAAAGATGATGCTTTGATAAAACAGCTTGTATGGTTTTTACCAGTGTGCTGTACTGTGTGCATGTCGTACAGTCTTTGAATTTCCTATCACTTAGGGTCGTAACCATCTAGGAAATCATACCTAGCGGAGGTGGCGACTTTATCTTGGCCGAAGGAAGTCAGGATGAGCTGGTAGACGCATTGGTAGGATTTGGGGAAGCGGGTGATGTTACAAGAAGTACGCGAAGCAAACTCAAAAGGAGCGTGCCTTAAGCATTGGCGGGTAACAAGTTTCAGAGCGAAGTCGATGCGTTGAAGAGAAGCGAAAGAGAGATAGAAACTGCGGGGGGAGCTGAGCTATCAAAAAGATGGAAGGAGGAAGTGGGGGATTGCCTCAGGACAATCGAAAATGTTACAAATGTGGAGAAGGGGGTCACTTCATCCGCGACTGTGCCGAGTATTGGCAAGCGAAGGCCCTCGGACGAACGTTTGTGCCATTGGCACAAACCACGGCCCCCACGTGTACGGGAAGGACGAATACGATTGGTACAAACTCGATGGTTCGAAGAAGCAGATCCATAGAAAGTGTCGGAAAAAGGAGTGAGGCCGGGGAAGATACAAACGCACTGATGCGGGAATACTTCCTACAGATGGCGGAGGAACGGAGGCTTCATATGGAATGGGAGGCTGAGGAAACAAGACGACGAAGGGAGGAGGAGGAGCGACGAGTGCGCGAGAACAAGAGATATGCAGAGGCAGGAAGAACATATGAGACTCGAAGAGGAGCGAGATGCGAGACTACTAAGGATAGTGAGAAGTGAGATGAGAAAAGACAGGGATGATGAAAGGGAGAGATATGAGAGAAAAGAAAAGGCGGTAGTTAAGACAGGAGGTCGAAATGAGGCAGCACAGGCTAAGAAAGAGCGATTGAGAAGGTTGATTGCAGCGAAGACCATCGGGTCTGTCACGGAGGAGGACGACGAAGAGTTACTCATGTTGAGAATGATGGCGATTAAGCTGAATATAGCGGAGAAGCGGAAGCGTGAACCGGACGTGGCGGTCAGAAATAGTCCGCCTCTGGTCACGCCGAAAAAGAGATCCAACTTGAAGCTGACCGAGGAGTCGAAGACACGAATTGAGCAACTCAGGAGTGACTTGACCACGGATACCGGAACGACGAGCACGCCTGGGAAAACCGATCTCTCGCTCAAGCACATTTCGCCATCATGCGGGATCGGAGGGAAGGAGAGGTTCGAGCAAGACTGCCAGGAGTTCTACGACGCTTTGACCATCGACGAACTCAAAGAGGCCTGTCGTAGGGAGAAAGTGACGTATGGGAATCGGGAACTAGCCATAAAAAGACTAGTTATCCGAAGATCGGTGGTTGCATATGATCCTTTGAATATTCCACTACCATCGACACTGCGTACGAAGACCAGAAGTGAGAGAGGAGTCATCAACAAGGAGGTCAAAAAGGAAGACGACATCTTGGCTAGCTCGGACTCGGAAGCATAATATTCTGAAGATGAGTCGGATTGAGGAGTTTGTCGTCGAGACGACTACTTCGAAGTAGCGGAAAGGTTATGCCACCGTAGACTACGAAGTGACGGTAAGTGTAAGACGAACGAGGGGACACTACGTGCTGCTACGATTGGTCTGATTTTGGAAGGGCGTTTGAAATGGAGTGAGAAATTTATCGATTACTGGCGTGACGAAGTGGAGAAAGGCAATTTCGATATATCCGAGCCGAGGAGCTGTGTATGTGTGCTAATATCTCCCTGTTATAAGCAGATATACATAGGACTGGCGGAGAGAGGATTATGGGAGCGATGGCGGGAGCACTTTAGACATGGGCGAAAGGGTTGTAAGCGGATGAGACGATTATATAATTGGCTCGGAAAGGTGGGTTGTCACCAATATGTCGTCTTGCCTCTATTCACAAGCGATGATAGGGCTGAACTTGAAGCGGTTGAGAGCACTCTGATTGGACACTAGTCACCAGCACTCAACGTCAGAACAGTTAAAATAAAGAAAGTTCCTAAGAAAGCCAGACGAAGACCAGGAGGAAAGGAAAGGAAGAAGTGGCACAATGACGGGGGTCTGAGGCAGGTAGAATTTCAGAAGGATACGGGTAAGATTTTGGAGTTTCGCCAAGATGGTAGTAGCGAGGGCACTGTTAGGATCGTCGACTTACTGCGGAAACTGGGCAAACAAAAAGGCGAGGTAGTCTTAAACTGCAATGGAGGTAGTATCTGGGCTGATGGTTGGCGAGTAGTACGTAGGCTCTTCGGAGAAAGCCAAGTAAGGCTCGGTAATGGGACCAAACCGATGCGTAGCTGTAAATACGTCTTTGAGAACGAAGGGCAGGTCATGGTCAAAAAAGTTACGGAGGCCTCGCTAGCAGCCCTAGCTCTACGCGATGAGATGATTGGGATGTTCAAGAACCCGCGTAGACTAAAGCAACTGAAGTCTAAGAGTTTGGGGGAGCTAGCCAGATATTATTCCGCCATAAAAACGTTCACAACGAAGAAAAGTAGGTCGAAGGCAAGAACGATGGTATCCAGAGTGATACGCGAGAGTTTTGTTGTAAGCATCAGGGCAGATTGAGGCACCAATAAAGGAGATGATTAAGCGTCGAGCACGTGTTGTATGGAAGAGATGCCCGAATGTAGGCGACATTCTTCACAACCACCGACAATTTGTGTCGGTGCGTGCGTCCAGCTGCCCTTGTGCTGGACTGCCCTACCCAAAGAGGAACGGGCACGTACATCTTCGGATCGGTGACCTGAATGGTGTGCCGCGGTTAGCCTGTAATGCGAAGAACGTACCGAGATGCGATGTGGATCAGAGGGATGGGCTACTAGTGAAGGAATTGACTTTAGCCCTTGGGATCTGGAGTAAGACATTAGGATTGAGCAAGGAAAACTGTGAGATAATGGTCGCCGAAGTCAAAGATTGCTTTGTGGGAGGCAAGCGGCAGTTTCAGGTTGATGGTCTCGAGGAAATTCTGGCACTGAAAGAGAGATTGAGTGGGTTGGTGCCTGCACTACTGGACAAAAACCGAGGTGACACGCTTGTGCTGTGTCCACGACTGTACAGTGCTGGTATGGAGGAGACCTTTTTAACCAACGAGGGATACAGGATCTGTACAGACAGTGAGCAGGAGATCCTGGTCAAGGCAAAGCAGGAATACGAAGCACGTGGACTGGCAAATCAGGGCAAATGGAATCAGAAAGGCAAAATCAGTAAGGCATATGTGCTACCGAAACACAAGGATACAGGGAAGTACCGCCCGATCTGCCCCACAATGAATGAACCGCTGGTGGCGACATGTAAACTCGTGGCAAAAGGGATCAACTGCCTCCTGTTTTCTTTACCACAATCGGGGCATCTGAACTTGAGGTCTGTGTCAAAAATGAAAGGGAAGTTGGGTGCTATGAATAATCGCTTGGGGAGGAGTAGGCAGAATGTAGGGATAACAGGAGCGTCATTCGACATCAAAGACAAGTTTAGCCGCTTACCTCATGCGACTATCATGTCTGCGATGGAGTGGGTAGTCTGGTAGTTCAAGGAGAAAGGTTACGAAGGGGTTTTCGTTCAGAGAGAGGGAAAGGGGGCACGCCTGAGCAAGATTAAACGATTGGATGGTTTCTCGTTTGTTCCATTCAAATTCTTGCTGGATTTTGTAGCCTTTGAGCTTGAATTCTGTTTTACTAAGGCATGCGAAATTCTCATCCAACAAGTGATTGGCATACCAATGGGGAAGAGTTTGAGTCCCCCATTGGCATGCCTTATGTGCGCAAAGCATGAATGGGATTTTATGATCACTCTTGGTAATCAGAAGAGGACATACGATTCGTAGATGATGTTTCCATTTTTGCAGTGTTCAACAGAAAAAGAGCAGGCGACAGAGAAAGGGCTGAGAAAATGTTGAAGCAATTTGAACATTGTTATGATCGGGCTTTGACATTGAAACGAACTGATGATGGTGAGGATAATTGGAATTTTTTGGGTTGTAAGTTGTCGATTAGTCAGAAGTTCCCGTTTCTGGGTATTGCGCAAGTGATGAAGAATGATCAGCAATTACGAAACGGAGGCGTACTTCCTTTTCGTACTTTCCAGGACTTCGAATCTTGGAACTGCAAACAGGCAAAGATGGCCACGATTGTGAGTGCGCTCCACAGGATTGAGCAGAACTCGCAGATGGGAATGGAACTCCTTGACACTCTGATCTTGCTGAAAATGGAACTCAGAAAGGGTAACTATCCGCGACATTGGTTCGGAGCGACCCTGCGAAGCTTCAGCCGCGGGAAGGATTCCAGGTGGAAATTGTTCGCATTGCTGCTGACAGATAGGAACTACGTAAGATTGTAGGGAGGAGTTTGGGGTGGTGCTTGCGTAGGTAGGATGGGTAGATGCAAGGAGGATAGGATTTTGGCTCTCCTTTTTGGGCACCTGTTTATTGGGACCAGGATTTGTCCTTTGGCTATCCAGGCCCCGAACTAGGTACCAGGAACCGGTCGGGAAGGTCAGAACTGTTGGAGTTGGGCCTCGAACTGGCTACCGACGTATCAGGTCGAATGGTCAGATAGTGTAGGCAGGCTGTCAGGCGGTACTATTAGCAGTGTATGTTTTTTGGTTTGAACCTTTAGGCCGTTGTAAGGGTCAGTGTGGTTTTGTGTGTTATCGACGGTGCCTCGAAGCAAGGAGGAGGAGATTACGTTGAATATAAGGATAAATAGCTATTTGCGGAATGGAATGCTCCTCTTTCGCCGAGTGAAGGCGATGCGACGCGAGGGTGGACCGATGGCTAGGAGGGGACGGGTCGTCATCATGACAACATGGGTTGTCGAATCTTTTATCACTCCTCATCTCTGCGCTTCATGTTTGACCACTGTTAACAGCACGTGTTAACGTGAGTCTGTTTCACTTTAATGATGATGCTCTGATAAAACAGCTTGTATGGTTTTTACCAGTGTGCTGTATTGTGTGCATGTCGTACAGTCTTTGAATTTCCTTCCTCATGGCGCAGTAAGACTTTTCTAGAATAAGATGAGGGTTTCTGAGCAGGGATATATCTTTAGTGTGATGGGTAGTTAATCCCCTTGGTTGAGGGCAATCAATACTGCTCATTAGGTTGAATGGAGCGTGCCTACGTGTTGGCTCATCAATTGCTCAGGATTATAGTAGGATGAACACATGGCATGTTTTATGACGTCTGGTTGTTTACAGCGACGCTGGACCCGTTTTCCAGCAGGTGATGCTCCCCACCAATAGATGGAGCCTCCCCGAGTATGCTAGAGGTGTCTGCTTTTATCAGCACTCCTAGCAATCACTTCCGTTGTTTCTTCAAAAAAAAAAAAAAAAAAAAAAAAAAAAAAAAAAAAAAAAAAGAGAAATGAGGGTATCAGTTGGATCCTCTGCGCAATCTGACCATCCATTTTGTGCAGCCACAAGGCAGAAACCTGTGCAGAAGCCTGTTTGTTTTTTGAAGAAGAAGACTATGTGAAGATATTGGCAATGGCAGATTGTGAAGGGAATGCTATCATTGTCAGTTGGCTACAGTCAAAGATGTCAGATCGGTAAAAGGTGGAAGAAATGCAAAGGGAGCGACGCAGCTGCCACTGTAGTTGAGAGACAGTTAACAGAGGCCTCAATTTTCAGATTACTTGTCAGGCCATTTATAACAAAACCCAAGGCTCATTTTAACCAAACTTGCCACCAATTCATAGAGTGGAGATCATACTAACTACTTACAAAATTTTGAACAAAAAAAAATTGAAAAAAAAACTTTGAAAACCTATAAAACAGCAAGACAAAAGTATGTTTTATGCAAAACTTACTCATTTCAGTTTTCAGGATTTTCAGGATTTTTTACCAAAAATAAAACAGGGCAAAAGAAAAAAAAACAGAAAAAAAAAAAAAAAAAAAAAATGATCTCCAATGTACTTTTCAGAGTTGAGGGRGTTAACCAGGGCTGAAAAGTGGGGGTCCCTGTTAACCGCTTATGCTGTAGTTATGAAGTCCCCAGCCTGTCCGGTAGACCCCAGGCCTCCCTTACGACTTTGCCCAAAAGGAGTCCTCCCTTCTGCATGGACTTTCAACTTCTTTTGGAGACAGTGCAGGGTTGCAAAACTCAAGAAGTGGAAATAGACAAAGAAAGGAAAAGAATGGAGAAGGCAAGAAGAAGGAGAAGTACTGTAACACAAGATTGAACCAACCAATGCCAAGTCCCTCTCTTCTGGCCAGTTCATCTTCTCCCGCTGGTGTAAGCAATAAATTGCATTAAATGAACAAGAATTAATGTCCGCATGATCCTCCTTACTGCCCGCACTCAAAGGGCTTTTGTAACGCACACGAGGCTGAGGGAGAGCCGAGGGAGAGGAGAGAGAGAGATAGAGAGAGAAGGAGAGAGGGAGAGCACCCACACACACTCACTCACTCGACACGACTGAGGGTCGGACGCAGACACAGTGGCAGGGGCACAAAGTCGAAGTCTTGGATTCCCGAATGCCGAAACAGCAAGTCACACTGAGCACGAGTACAGCAGCTGGAAACTGGTACGAGACTGGTCCCCGTAC